GGGGTCCGTCCTCCACGCAGGGCCCACGGCCCCGTGTTCCCGGCAATGCCGGGCCCTGTTTGTAGTCCACTCTTAGCTTGTTGTGTGAAAAAATATTTGGTGTTTCTCAACTCCAGAGAACCAAGTTGAGTTCCGTTCTCTGTTGTCAAAGGAGCTAAGGAAACAGCCTGGGCAGGCCCCTCTGGGGCAGTGTTCTGACCCTCAGGCCGACCTTTCTGCGGCAAGGCGGCCAGCCCCTCCCAGCTGACCCCGGTGCCCGGGCCCCATGGCGGGGAGTGCTGGGCTCAGCCTGGTGTGGCCCAAGAAGCCAAGGCAGTGGGCCTGGCCGTGCTCAGGGATGAAGCTTCCTCTGGCCTGCCGGGAGCCTCAGCCAGTGGGCAGGGCCTTCCTGGCACCTCTGGGAGTGTCAGCGACCCACGTAGCCTCCAGCGGTGGCTTCAGTGGCCCCGGTGGGATGGGTCCTGGCGCAGCAGGGCAGGGGTGGCCACCTTCCCTGCCCCCCACCCACAGTAGGACTCCTTGTCTGGAATCTACCCCTTTTAGGAGGTGGGCTGTGGTGTGACGGCCCCAAGTGTCCCCAAAGCATGCTTCCCCCCCCACACTCAGCATCTGCCTGAGACTCAGTGCAGGGTGGGATCAAAGCCGTGCCTCCACTGCCACAGACAGGGGGCCTGCAGAAGGTGCTGGGGACCCAGCTCGGGGACACCATCAGGACCTACACCCGGTCACTCCTTGCCCTGCTGGCTCCTCAAGCTGCCCTTTGGGGGCTGTTGACCCCTCTGCAGAAGGAAGAGCCCAGGTCTGTGTCCGCCAAAGGCTGTGGTGCTCACTTAGGTTCCGGGACACTCCCAGAGGCTGGCTCTGGCTGGGAAGGGCAGGGTCTCCATCAGCTGCCCTGGGCTCCTGGACAGAGGGGCAGTGAGACTCTCAGGTGGCTCAAGGGGCTCCAGAGCCTGGGACCAGGTGGACTGTGGCTGAGCTGCTCCCCGGAGCCCCCAAGACACTGTCTGTTAGGCAGTGAGGTGAGAGGCCCCCCCAGGACCTCATCAGGTCTCTGAGTCGGGTGAGTGCCCAACTCTGTCTGCTTCCCCCACCGGACAGGACCAATGGGCTGGCTCATCCCCCCCCGTGGGGAGCGGCCTGCCCAGCGCTACAGCCTCCTCTGCCCATGTGGCCAGCCGAGCTCTTCCCTGCCCAAGGCCATGGGTGATGGAGGCTGTGGTGACTCACTGCCAAAGGCTCTACTCCGCGGGGAACAGGAAGCCGAGGCCCGCCCGCCCACCTGCTCGCTCGCAGCCTGCCAGGGGTTGGCAGCAGCACCCGCTCCCCTCACAGAGCCTGCCTGGGTGGAAACAGAGAGTGTGAGGGGTGACCGGCATGAGGGGGCCGGTCTGTGCTGAGCCCCCACATTGTACCTGCCCCATGCTGGTGGCTGGGTCTCCCTGCCCCCCAGCCTCTTCCCCTGGTGCAGAGAGAGACCAGGCAGCACTCCCACCTTACCCAGGCCTGAGACGCCCCCATGGTAAAGGCCACGAAGCTGGTCCCTCAGGGGCCTGAGTGGAGCCTGCGCTGCCATGTCCAGCCACACCAGCCCTTCCAGCTGCGGCCAGGACCCCATCCCTTCCACCTAAGGGCTCTTTCACACAGAGCCATCAGGCCAGTCTTGCTGGGCTCAGCCCTCTCAGACCTGGTCCCCCACAGCCACCAGACCCCACCTGTCCTCCCTCCTGCATCCAGGTAAGCATGTCCTCCCACCACATGAAGACTCTGTGAGTCACTGTGGTACACATGGAGGAGGTCCCACCGGGCCAGGCAGATGACCCCCCCCCATTCTCCATTCCAGGAGGGAGAAGGCACAGGCACTGGCGATGAGGAGGAAGATGAGGAGAAGATGAGGAGAAGATGAGGAGAGAGAGATGGGGTGGGCTCTCAGCGGGGACAGAGGCCTCAGACCCCACCCCAAGCACCCAGGAGGGTCCTCCAAGTGGCCAGTCCCCTCCTCCAGGTCAGCCTGGGGTTTCCACAGAGCTAGAGGCCAGGGTCCCTACGTGTGTGTCCTTATGGATACCAGGGAGGGCTTGGGTGACCCCAGGACCCCTGGGCAGCAGCCTGATTTCCCTCATTGCTGCCCACCCATTCCAGCGTTGGGAGTCATGGGAGAGGCCAGGCCAGACTCACCCAACCCTGCCATGGAGGCCGAAGCAGGTCCCTTTGGGCAAAGAAGGTTTGAGAGAAGAGAAACACTTTGGAACGAGCTCCCTAAGTTGCCTTCAAGAGGAGAGGCCCCAGGCTGCTGCTGAGACCAAGAAGCTGCCCCGTCTGGGTGGGGGAACCCTCAAGGGGGTGTTCCTGGCTCCCAGACCTCTGGAGCACCCTCTCCTATATCCAGTCTAGGCAATTTCTCAGGAAGGCCTGAGTCCACATGAGAAGTGGGCCCAAATATGTATTGGGGCGGCTGGGGAGCTGGCAGGCAACTCAGGCAGGAGCCCCCAACTCACTTGCCCCTGCGTCCCCAGAAGGCTGCCCACTCCTGCACCGTGCCCAGCCAGCCTCACCAGCCCCGTCAGCCCCCACAGGGAGCCAGGCAGAGCTGCTGGGAACTGTGCTGGAGACCAGCTGACCAGTAGCCCCCCACCTTCCAGATCTCAGTGTATCCAAGGCCACCATCCCCACCAGGCCCAGGCTTCCTCTCAGGGGTGAGAAGGGGGAACCACTTTCAGAGGGAAGCTAAGTCCCCTCCCTCCCCTGTCCTATAGACACAACACCACAGAGGCCACGCCCCTCCCTCCCTGTCCTTCACCCATGAGGAAATGCAGGCAACACAGCATCTCTGAGGCCATGTTGAGGGACGGTGCCACAGGACAGGTAGTGGCCACACAGCCCTGACACTCTACACCCCTGGCCACTCCCCCTTCAACAGACCCTCACTATATGCTTCATTTGCAACCAGACACAGCAGGGCCCTGGTGGGGGGCACAGATGCCCTACACCCCGTGGGCCTTTCCTGGAGAGGACCCGAAGCCACGCACAGGCGGCAACTCACACAGCCGCACACATCCGGCAGTCCACCTCCTGATGTCATCGGCCCACAACCCATGCGGTCACTGGGCCAGCATGCCAATGCCAGTGCATGCAAATCTGCGGCTGCCAGGGACAGGGGATAAGGGAGCAGTGGGGAGCGAGTCCCGGGGTAAGGAGATCCCTTCTAGGGTATACAATGTTCTCGAATTACAGCGGCAAGGGTGGCACAGTGTGTGTACTAAATGTCACTAATGGTAAATTCTGTGTTTTATGTATTTTCCCACAATTTTAAAAAACCACACCCAGGACCTGAGACTGACTGTGAAATCCCATGCCAGCCTCTCATCTCCCAGGGACGAGGATGGTTCTCTGTAGGCAGATAGCAAAAACCTCTGCTGTCCATTCCTGAAAACTCAGGGATATAGCATTGCAATTAGATCAACCACAGCTACGGGCATTATCAAGTCATCTGGAAGCCCCAGGCACCATTAGGGGGATGGACATCACTTCCTGCCCAATATCACAGGGCTGCTGTTTTCAAGAATTAACCAAGTCCCAGCGGAGCAGGCACCCGAGGGGCTGGTGCTGGTGTTGTGTCCATAGGTTCGGCCTAGGGAAGCTTTCCATGGCTCCCAGGGGGCAGAAGAGCACGGGACCAGCCTGGCTGTCTGCCCTCTGCCCACACAGGGAGGTAAACTAAACTCTTCATCCAGCCATTTGCGCTTAGGTGGGCTGATTTATTATTACAGCACTGAGTTCAGCATGATAAAAATCCAAGTGTAAAAGTCCTCTCTGCAGGACGCGAATGCCCCGGTTGTGAGGGGACAAAGACTTTGGGCTCAGTCTCCTCTCTGGACTCTTGGTTCACAAGACTGAATGTTATGGGAGGTCTGGTAGAATATTCCACTCCCCGCAGGCAGGGGGCCTTAAGACCCCTTTTTACAAGCCTTCACAGTCCTGCGGACCCAGTCCCTAGCACTGACCCTAGGTACAAGCATGATTTCATTTTGAGCCAGGGTCTTGGCAGTAATCACTCTGAAAGCTCAGCTTGTTTCCTGACAGTTTTCGACCTCGTGTACTTCGTGTGCTAACCCGAGTAACTGCATCGCTGGGGGAAGCTGTGGATTCCCTAGCTGAGCCCAGGGCTGGGTGGTGATGGGGCCCTGCAGACAGTGACCACCCCAGCCCGTGGCTGTAGCTGTATATGCCGGACCCGGGGGCTGTTCCTGACCCAAAGCCCCCCACAGGCTCCAGCCCCGCATGAGTCCTCAGAGCACTTGCCTTCACTGGCAGGCATAAAAGCGCCTCCCCGGAGGCTGGCAGAGCCGAGTGCTGGGTGTTTACCCAAGACAGCTATTTGGGGAAAAGGAGGAGAGAAAACCAGCGTTTCTCCCAGCTTCCTGCCGGCCCCTCAGCGGATGAATTATTCCCATGGGCTCCTCGTGTTGGTCCTTTATTGAAAGACACAATTCATTTTGCCTTTTTAGCCCAGCAAATGTGGAGGGAACGGGGACGCTGTGACGCTGAATAAGTGACCAGGCCACGAGCCTGAAGGACACGCTCCCTCATTGAATAATTAATCAAGGACCGCTGCCTGAACCCGGAGGACGCCGGACTGCGGGCTCCGCCACCGGGCACTTCCGGGCCTGGCTTGCCCCCAAAACCAGCAACACTGGGGTGCTGGGGGCTGGGAGCAGACACCGGAAGGCCGGGCCGCCCTCCCGCTCCGCGCCCCAGTCGGGCTCTGGAAGACTCCGCAGCTCCGAGCGTCCCGCGCCTCCTCCAGGCCCCCTCCCGGGAAGATGCCGCCCCCCGCCCGCACCCCACCTGAAACTTCTGCGTCCCCAGAAGCCGGGAAAAGTTGAAGGGCGCCGGCGGCGGCGGGGGCGCGCGGTGCGGGGCGCGCGAGACCGGCCTTCAGCACCGCGGACAGCTCCGGGCGCGCGGCCCCGGACGGCGACCCCGGCCCCAGGTCCTACCTGTCGTCGTTCTGGAAGGACGGGTCGCCCAGCAGCAGGTCCCGGAAGCGGTAGCGCGGCGGCAAGGGCAGCACCTCCGAGTCCAGGTCGCTCATCTTGAGACCGGCGGTGTCCAGGAGCGCGCCGTTCCCGGCGCAGGGCTGCCTGCGGGGACACGCCAGCGCCCCTCAGCCCGCGCCGGGCGCCCTCGCGGACGCAGCGCAGCCCGCGGCCACGGCGACCCACCGGGCGGGCGGCTGGGCAGGGGCGGGCCTGGAGGCACCCGCGGGCGGGGACGCGCGGGACTGGCTGCGCCCGGCGGGGGCTGGGGCGGGGGCGGTGCAGGGGCAGGGTGCGGGGCTCCCTCTGAAGCGGCCCGGGGCCTGGCAGGAGGTGAGGGGGACAGGAGCTGTCAGGGCCAGCTCAGGGTCAGGCGCGCACCATCCCCCTGTAGCTGCGATAAAGGCTCTCCCCCTGCCCTGGACCGTGTGCCAGGGCCCTGCCATCCCTCTTAACGCCCCAGCTCCCCTGCCCGCCTCCTGGGTCTTTGCGGAGTCCCGCTGCTCAACCTTCCTTCAGGGTCCAAAACACCCGCCCCAGCCCCAGAGACCCATCTCAGACCTTCAGGGTGGAGTTACCAGGAGGCCTGAGACACCCTTGTTTGCAGCTTCCCCAGGTGGAGCAGCTCAGCTCAGCTCAGAACCCCGGGGGCTACCAGGCCCTCTGAGCCCTCAGCTGACTTGCCACTGTCACCAAGTGAGGGACTGAAGAGACACAGAGAGCTGGCAGGGTAGGGGCATGGGGACACACAGGATAGAGTGGGAGGACCGCTGGTGGTCTGCAGTTCTTGGGGGCCCGGGCAGGTGTCTTCCAGGGCTCTTGCACCTTTCTGTCCCCATGTCCCCATCAAAGTGAGTTTTAGCTGCTCCAGGAGAAGCAGGAGCCGAGGAGCAGGGAACTTCCTACCTGTTCCAGACCCACCCCTGTCCCAGGCTGTGTGGCCAGAAAGTGAGCAGAGGGGGTATGGAGAGGACTGTCCAGCTGAGGCAGGGGCAGGAGGCCCTGACCACATCCAGCTCCCCGTAGGGCCCGCACAGAGGTCACTTACCTTGAGCACCAGGTCCACGGTGCCACAAAACCCTCCTTTCTGTCAAGTCGGGGTGGGTGGGCACATTCCTTGAGCCCCCACCAAGTGCCTCTCCTGTGCCCCCCAACCCCCAGATGAGCAGCAGGCCAGGAGGTGTGGGCACCCCAGGCCAAAGCTGCAGGTGGCAAGTGCATGCCCCAAACCCTGCTCCTTGTTCTGAGGTCACAGGTTCAACCCCCAGGATCTGGCAGCGTTGGAAAAATAACATTTTCCTAATTGCATCAGTGTGGCTGCATGTTTTTCCTTAGTCACAAGCTGGCTGGGCCATGGGGAGGTGCAGGCAGGCAGGGGAACCACGTGGCCAGGGGTCAGCACTGTATTTTCTTGGTTTTGTGCCTTCTTTACTGAAAGCCCCCTTCAATGGCAAAACCCCAAGAGACAGCCGGCTCCCCAGGCATGGCTGCCTTCTCCTGCCCCTGCCCCGCCTGCCTTTTGAGCTGCTCTGGTTCCTCCTCCTGGCCTCAAGGCCCAGTCTTGGCAGGGCCCATGGACAAGCTCAGGGGGTGGGACCTCTGTTTGCTTCAGGGGTCACCAGGGAAAGGAAGTGCACCAGGAGTCCAGAGACCTGGCCCCACCCCTGCTCCCCAGATGTGGCCTGGGGAGGGTGACAAGGACAAGCTGCCCTTCCTCCCTCGGGGAGTTGCTTCGACACTGGAGTGAGCACACGGCCGTGAGCAGGTGTCCCGCAGACCTCCTGGCATCCTGCCTCATTCCCCACAGAGCCAGAAACCTTGAAAACACTTGGCTGTTGTGCTGGCCGAGGACCGGAGCTGCAGGGTCTCTGGGAAAGGTGCCCATCGCAGGAGGACCGCAGCAGAACAGCTGCTCCCTGTGTCTCTGGGGTCTGGTTGAGACCTTTCTCAAGCAGGAAGCCCTGCGCCGGCCAGCTCTTTTGGGCCCGTGGGGGTAGGGGAGGGTTGAGGGGTTCAGTCCCCGCTGAAGCTGGTTCAGGGCAAGTGGAACACAACCTTGGTACAGCCAGACACGGGGACCCTGGACCTGCCTCAAATTCTGCACCCCTCTTCTCTCGAGCTCTCCTCCCTATGTGACCCAAGGGGCCCCGGAGCAAATCTGAGACCCCCACTGTCACATCCACAATCTTATCTTCTAAGTGACGGCTGTGCCAAAGAGTTGCCACTTTCCATAAGAATTCTGTGGTTTGGTGGCTTAAGGAAGGTGTGCATCTTCCCAGCCCTTACACCACTCTCTGGACAAGGTGCGGAGCTCAGCCTGTGAGACTCACACACCCCCTGGAGCCAGGGCCGAGCTGATGGGACAGAGCATATGCCCTTAGGCCAGGCTGGGGCAGCCCAGGGGCTCGGCATGGAGCACCCCCTGCTCCTCCTGGGGACTCTCTGGGCTGTCAGCACACACCCCGCAGGCCCAGGGGATGGCAAGAATGAGCTGACATGAGCAGGGCTCAGTCCTGGTCCCTCAGTCCTGGCTGGGCAGCCCCCCGAGAGTTCCTTCATCTCCCCAAGCCTGTTTCCTCATGAGTGGAGGATCTACTGATGCTTGTTCCCTTACAGGGTGACTGAGGAGATGTAACCGGACAGCCAGCCTGAGGCGCTTGGTGTGGGCCTGCATGTGAGCGCTTACGATACAGCAGGTGTAGTGTGGCAGCAGTGTGGCTGGGCCCTCACGGACAACGGCTATGTGACGGGATAACCCGGGCTGTGGCAGGCACCCAGCGTGCCCGCTCTGGCTCAGCTGAGGCCCGTCAGGGAGCTCAGGCTTGGGACGCTGACTTTTGGAATCTAGCTGGAGAGGCCAAGAATGAGTAAGGCGGTCCACACCTGGGCACTGCCGTAGGAAGCCACTGTCAGCTGTTTGGTGCACACATAGTCACGTGCACTGACCCTGACAACCCTGTCATTCGAGGGTGGCCTGGCAGTTGTGCACAGCGCCAACTGTCATGGACTGAGAGCCAGCTGCACGCCAGGTGGTGGCATGGAATCCTAAGAACAGTTCCCAGAGGCCAGGACAGTCCCCATCCCTAATGCTGGGCGAGGATAAGTGGCTCCCAGAGCCCAAGGAGCGTCACTGAAGTCCCGGCAGAGGCGCTGGGGTGGGGGCCCGAGTCCGCCTCACCTCGGGCTGTGCTGCCTTTGGGCAGCTGGGGGGCTCTTCTGACAGCCGGGAGTGCCTGCTTCTTACTCCCCCACCCCTGTCCCCGGTGGCCATGGAGCCAGGACTGTATAACAAAGTGCTCAAAGACAAGCTTCTCCTGTCAAAGGCCCCAGGCATTCCGTTCCCGCACCACCACAGTGGAGGCCTCATCTCTGCACTGCTGTGAGAGAGAGGATTAAAAGAAGGAGTCGTGGGAAGGAAGAAATGGGGCTCTGTGTGGAGCTGGCACGATCATTTACTGGAAAACGCAGAAGAAGAGGAATTAACTGAAAACCTATTAGAGCAAATATGGAGCCCAGTCAGGCAGCCAACCCAGGAGCGCCGCAGGGAGCAGCAGCAGAGAGCCACGGGGAGAAAGCCCCACTCACAGCGGCTGTGGGAGCCCCAACCCCACAGAGCGTGCGGCCTTCCCGAGAGATGGACTGGAAGCTGTCACTAGCGGGAGACGGGGGTCTTCTTCCCGAGAGTCCAACAGTTCCTTCTCCAAACACACGGACAAAGGGAATCGACACCAAGCAAGAGTCATCACGGTTTTGTCGGAATTTGATGAACTGTTTCAAAAATTAATCCTGACGAGTACATGTGCAAGAACAGGCACACAGTGGAGAGGAGGGAGAGAGGGCCCGCGCCTTCCGCTGCCGTTCACAGCCACGGCAGCCGGCGCTCTGGGATCTGGCCCAGGGAGAGACAGAGGGCTGAGACACAGCAGAATGCCTTGACTGGTTGAAGCCCACGTTGGAATCCAGGCTCGGGAAAGGAGGCAGGGGGCACTCCTCGGCCCTATGGAACTGGGGTGAATGCAGCTCCACCCGTCCTGCCTCAGGTACCGTTCGCAAATACCAGGAGGGATGACACCCTCCCTGTTGTGCTGACGGAGAAACAGAGGCCGGAGAACTTCAGAAACGCACTTAACCTTGTTCCTTATTTATCGCCGCTCATCACTGTCTCCTTGCCTCGGGAGGGCTGCTGCTTGAACCAGTATCTGGCTCCAGCCTACGTTATGCAACGTGCCTTGTGTTGGATAAAATACGATTAGACTCCACGCTGCAGCCCCAAACCAAGGACAAGATGGAAAGAAAATACAGGGAAAAGTGTTCAGAGCTGAGAAGACCTTTTATTTAACATACAAAAGCCAAACAGAGTCTACTCTGAGAGGAATAGCTGTATAAATGCTTCTCCATCTGAATAAAACACTGCTGCTTAGCAAAACACATCACTGGCAACGGAAAGAACAAGCGACCCACAGGAAGAACAAATCTGCAACAGCAATAACGCCATCAGAACACCGCCCGATGCCCGCAGGTCCCGTGGGAAGGAAAACAGTCTGGTAGAAAACGCCCGGCGCGGCGGCTCACGCCCGTCATCCCAGCACTTTGGGAGGCTGAGGTGGGTGGATCACCCGGGGTAAGGAGTTCGAGACCAACCCAGCCAACATGGTGAAACGCTGTCTCTACTAAAAATACAGTAATTAGCTGGATGTGGTGGCACATATCTCAAATCCCAGCTACTTGGGAAACTGAGGCAGGAGAATAGCTTGAACCCATCACTTGAACCTGTGAGGCGGAGGTTGCAGTGAGCCGAGATGGTGCCACTGCACTCCAGCCTGGGCAACAGAGTGTGATTTCATCTCAAAAAAAAAAAAAAAAAAAAAAAAACTCAAAGGATGTATGAGTGAGGTTCAAAGAAGAGGACGGGACAACAGCATGTGAGTGAAGACCAGGCAAGCCACCTCGCTGGTGATTCGAGCCACACAGAGCTGGACAGTCTCCTGCACCAGCGATCCGCTGTGGCTGGAGAACGGAGCATCTGGAGGCTCTGCAAGCTGGGGCTCTTGTGCCGTGTCCCTCAGGCTGGGAGCACTGGACTAACAACACCGGAATCGTGGGTCGTCTCCAACTTGGAACCTCTACCTGGGGACATCCTCGATCTGTGTCCGAGGCAGCCCAGGCATGCATTTTCATA